GTTTCGCTGCAGAAATAAGAAGCGAGTCGACAGTCAAAGTCTCCAGAAGAACTGCGGCTGCTTCTGCAAGATGCTCAGTAACACTTACAGCTCATTTCCTTATCAAACTGCACACACTGCACCTGAGACACTGTTTATTTATTTAAAGCGAAGGATCGTCACATTAAATACTGACTCTGTTTCATTTATTACTGTTTACATTTAATTTCATTACTTTTGAAGGCATCTTTGCTCTCCGGCATTTCTTTGCACATGCCTAAGACTTTTGCACAGTACTGTATATTATAGAGACAAATGTTTTTCTGTGCACTACTTCTGTGTGTGTGTGTGTGTGTGTGTGTGTGTTCAGTACTCCATCATTCGGACACTTCAACAAAGATGGAGTTCCTGATATCGTGCTTGAGGAAGACCAGGGAAACAACACCAAGAGAGTGAGTATCTGACTACAGCCATGACCTCAGCAACGATTTAATTCAATTACACTTCTTTAGGAAGCACTGTACTTATATGTTGGGATCAGTCAGGATCAGTGAGGTTAACAGGGTTCAGTTGTGATTACACGGGATCCGTTAAGATTGATCAGTCGGTGTTAGGCAAGGTGGGATTGTTCAGTCAGGTAGGTTTCTTTGGGATTATTCTGGATTAGTCACCAGGCACTCACTCGGCCAGGGCAGTCAACTCAGGATCGATCACTCAGCCTGGGGATCTCAGGATCAGTCAGTTAGTCAGGGGGTCAACTTGGGATCAGTCAGTATTCGTCAGCGTAACACTCTTCTATGTTCTTCGGAGGGAATGAGGAAACTGGAGGCAATCATGGGATAGCTGAAGTGGGCTCTTTATTCTTTGTAGCACAATCTTCTCTCTCGGGTTTTCAGTCAGTGAATCACTTGGGATCAGTTAGTGGTGGAGGTAATGGTGGAAGGGCGGTCCTTCACGTATCAGCTGGACCAGTCTGGATTTGTCTTTTAGCTGGTGATCTGTCAGTCATGTTAATGGTGTGTGTGTGTGTGTGTGTGTGTGTGTGTGTGTGTGTGTGTGTGTGTGTGTGAGGTGGTGATTGTAGATGGACAGAACGGCAATGTGCTGTGGGAGGTGTTCTTGCCGTTCCGCTTGAACAATCCACAGCCAGCTTCTGTTCTTACTCTCAACTATTTCTCTGTGTTCATGCTGTGGGGAGAGACACACACACACACCAATGACACGGTAAGTACACACACACACACACACACACACACACACACACAATTGACACTGTGAGTACAGACACACACACACCAGCCACCAACAAAACCTGATTAAAAGTACAAAACTTCTCACTAAATCTGTTTAATTCATGTGATCCATGTGATGGGGTTAGTCACCTCACCTTGACTGACTGAATCGTGTGTGTGTGTGTGTGTGTGTGTGTGGGTAGAGCTTGGAGGTAGAGGAACGCTCTTCGTATCTGCTCCACCCATTCCATTCTGATGTCCTGCTGGAGAGGAGAAACCCCGCCCAAAACATCATCGCCTTTAAAGGTATACACACACAAAAATAAATACACACTGAGACTGATTTTAATTCAGAAGATGTACAGAGACTGATGTGTGTGTGTGTGTGTGTGTGTGTGTGTGTGTGTAGCACTTCTCCTTGAACGAGGCCGTCACGCCTGTTACCTCATCCTGACCGGAGAGGACGGAGCCCTGAACAAAGGGGCGGCGCTCGACGGGACAGAGCCGGTGGTCCTGACCAAGCGGAAGATCAAAGGAGACGTCTCTCAGAGCAGCGTGGTAGGAGTGGACGGAGCTGGAAGACTGGATGGAGACGCCTCCGGGCAGGCGGAGACTGTGAAGGAGGCGTTCTACAGGCTGAGGTTCAGCGATCAATCTCAGTGATGTTTAAATTCACAAAAGTCTGTGTGTGCTACTGATTTCATCTGTTTGGGGATTAGTGTGTGGGGGATTAGTGTGAGGGGGATTAGTGCTGGGATTCAAGTGAGGGGATTAATGGTGGGGGTTAGTGCTGGGATTAGTGGGAGGGGTTAGTGCTGGGATCAATGGGAGGGGTTAGTGCTGGGATTAGTGTGAGGGGTTAGTGCTGTGATGTGTGAGGGGCTAGTGCTGGGATTAGTGCTGTGATGTGTGAGGGGCTAGTGCTGTGATGTGTGAGGGATTAGTGCTGGGATTAGTGCTGGGATCAATGGGAGGGGTTAGTGCTGGGATTAGTGTGAGGGATTAGTGCTGGGATTAGTGCTGTGATGTGTGAGGGGTTAGTGCTG